TAATGGTCACAACTCTTTTTCTTCTTCACGTGCCATATCACAGTTATCCATCACCAATGGATTGGTGGCTTCTCGATCTTCTGCCTCCTGGAATAATTGTCCTGCATTTGATATCTCAGTCCATTCACGAATATTTTTTAACCAAGAAACCTATTTTCTTTCTACATTCTACGGCCTTCTATTTTGCCTTTAAGGATCAGTTATCAGATAAAGGATCAGACACACAATTATAAAATCCAAATAACGAATTTCTATATGAATCGTGTCTATATATGAAATATTGATACTAATTAATATAACTCTCGAGTCTCTCCTTCTCAAGATCTCAAATTCCTTCAGTTCTTAAGTTCCGTTCCGGGTCCTCGTGCTGCTCGCCATCGTCTTTCTTCTGTTTTGTTTTAATAAAACTAATCGGTTGTTTCGTATCCATATACGTTCCCAAGTGTCTGCAAGAACAAAGGTGCAGCTGTACAGTGCTTTCTGATCCAGCTAAGGCATTTATCACCCCGGGAGGTGGTCAGGTATCCCGGTGGGATTTCGGATTTTTTTATCGAGGTGTGCTCTATTGTTCCTCGTGTTCCTCAGTGTATCTGCTTACTCTACACTGTGGGGAGATCTAAAGGATAAAGAATGGAGTAGGTGATGCTTTCTGATTGTAATCGGACTTCAGGTCTGATGTATCTTTGGATATATTGGTCATTTACTATTTGGTGACTGCAGATTTTTTATCGAGGTATACCCTTACTGGTTTACTACGGTTTTTCCCGTTAGCAGTCATAGCAACGCTCGTATACCACCTGGTGTTCGTCAGTGTATCTGCTTACCCTACACTGTGCAGAGAGGGAGAGGATAAAGGATGAATAAGAAGTGGGTAATACTTCTGATTGTATTCTGAATTCAGGTCTGTTGTAGCTTTTCATATCTTGGTTATTGACCATTTGGTGACTGTGATTTATGCCGCAGACTTAAAAGGTGACAGTGAGAGCCTAAGGGCCGTCAAATTTTCGTCAGGAATGGTACAATTAGCAGTCGGTTTTTTGAGGAGGAAGGCGCAGCAACAATTTGGAATGATTGTTGTGCTTTTCAGCGTCCGGCGACCACCGATACACCGACGCCGGACGCTAGTTGGACTGATCTTGTCGTTTCATCGGTCGTGCTCCCCTCATATTAGTACAAACCAAGACCAAGTACTCGACCTTCCACCACGTCGAGGTCATTCCACAGCCCAGGAAGGATCTGGTTTCTAGTATATTCTATAAAGTTCGTCTATAAAATTGTATCGTCTCCCACACTCCATTGTCATTCACCGCTCCTTAGTACTTACTTTTCTTTCGAAACATGAGTCCAGGTCCTACGAACCCTATGTTAGGACTGGTCGTATTATTATTTAAATAGCACCGTTAGCCGTGAAAATTATACGGTTTATATCTGCGGTAGTTTTATTTTCATTTTTGATGATCGCTCCCAGGTATAGAAATTCATTAACTGCTTCGATGGCGTCGTTTTCTATAGGTCGTAGGATTTGTGCCGTTGTGGTTGCGTGTCTTTTTTTATATACTTCGTTTTTTGGTGTTTTTGAATACCTTTGTTTTTTTTAAACGGTGCTTATAATCAGTTGGAGCAAGTTGTATCTCACTTTACGCGTAACATTTCCGTAATAGTCCAATTTTCTTGTTTTCATTGTATTCAAGATTTTCATTTCTGTATTGATCCTTCTCAGAACCTCTTTGTGACGTTCTGTCGTCGATATTTTATAGAAGCATTAAAGAATATCTCCTTTTTTCTGTATGGTGCAAAGTATTTCAAGATTCCAATCACTGGGAGAGATTTCTGTGTCCATATTTCTTTTATGAGCTACTGTAGTCTCATTATGGTATTGTGGCGACCTTGTTTATATAGTTCAGAGGTAGATTATCTATTCCAATCCAGGTGATTTGTTTCTGGCTAGTTTTTAACTGCGTCTTTAACTGCAAGAATCGTTGGTGATTCCGTTTCCCTCCCTTTTGTTTCGCTTACCTTATCTCTTTCGTATTCCAGGTTTTGTTATTCTTCTATACATCTTTCCTTTTGGTTAATAGGTTGGTTAATAGGTTGCCATTAAGACTTTTGTATTGGTTTGTAGTTGCCTTGAATTCGTTTCTGTTGAATCTCTGCAGAATCATTTCGAGTTTCGAAATTTAGCTCTTCATTCCCGCTTTTTTTGGATTTATTGGTCCTTTAGATGTAGTAATCCACATTCCTAATGTCTGAAAGCCATCCAGTACATATCAGTGGATGAGTTAGTCTGAGTTTCGGCTATCTATCGGCTGACCATAACCACTTACGTATTGCAATTCAAAGTTGCAACATCTATTTTAGATTTTAAACTACTATGTCTAAATTCCTGATTTTTGCGCGGGATTTAAACCTACCAACCCGCTAAACTATTCACATGAAAGTAAGTGATGAAGTGATTTTTATACTTAATGTCATTTAGGGATATTTTTGAAAATTTATTGACTTTAAATCTTCTATCAAATCTTAGCTATACTAGATAAAATATCATATTTCTGCACATTATCTATATTCTTTTCTCTTAAAGCAGTTAAGGTTAATATTCGTTACCGATAATAAATAATAATTTTACCCACATAAAGCGTTTTTTCAAGAAAGAAAACAATGTGATTTTACATTACATATTAATAATTAACAAAGCGGTTTACTTTCAATATTTTTTGAATTTCTATGTAGTTTATTCATTTTTATTGTTACTAATCTGGTGTCCTAAATATTTATGTTTTGTTTCAGGTTTCTGGTTATGTTCGAATTTGAAGTTCTAATTTAATCTCACAAACATGAGTTTTATATATCAAAACCCACAAAATTTCGCAAAACCACATACTAAGAATTTTATGTTATCGTCAGAAACACCTACGAAAACCACCTATCCAACTGATAAACAACCACAACTTAATGAAAACAATAATCAGTTGAGTCCCAATGGTAATGAAAAGACATTAAAAGAACTGTGGTCGAAACACAAAATGAAGATGAGCAAAATCAAAACGGATTCCACCATAAACATCGACAACAAAAAGATGACTTGGGATGTCGATAAACCCTCAGAAGCTCTTGTAAAATTCGAAGAGCTTGAGGAGCCGAAACAGGAAGAGATACCTGTTTTAAAAACTGAAGAGCCCTTAGATAATACCAAAGATGAAAAAGAAGAATCTCCTTCGCACCATGCCAGAAGACCGCCTAATGCCTTTTTGATATTCTGTAAGAAGCACAGGCCGATCGTTAGAGAAAAATTCGTCCATTTGGAGAATAGAGGAGTGACCAAGATATTAGGAGAATGGTGGGCACTACTGAGTGCCGCCGAGAAACTGCCATATAATGATTTAGCTAAAGAGGTAATTTTTTTATTTTTATGACATAAAGAAACAAAAAAACACTTAATATTGTTCTGAAGCTATTTTATTCTGGCATTTTAAATTAATTACTATTTAACTGGGAATAAGCCATAATTAAAGATAAAAATACGTTTATTGACGTTTCAATTTCCACTTTGGAAATCGTTCTCAAAATACAAACAGTAAATTAAACAAATTTTGTTTTTTGTTACATAGTGAAAAAATTCTTCAAATAAATTAATTATATCTGACTCATTTATATTGACAATTCAGACATACATTATGCATTTTAAAGTAGACGACTTTAAAATGATATTGCCAATATTGTTGAGTTGCGCTCCTTGGAACACTTTACTTATAAGATAGTTCATTCGATTACATGAAATCAAATTTAACTTGAGAATATCCGTCAGAAAAAAATCATAGCATGTAATTCGTCTTTAAAAAGACAAACACATGACATGATGACAGTAAAATTCTCCTGTTAGTGATTCCATAGTAAATTATGAGGAAAAAACCAGGAAAAAAACCTCATCAGAACTACTCGCGCATCAAGTTATAACATAAGTACACACGTGGCGTACTTTATACACCACTAGAGAATACACTTAAAAACAGCGGTTTTTTTTTTTGAAAAAATACAATTAGTTGTCTGTTATAAACTTTATTTATTAACAAATTAATAATAATAAACATTTTGAGTAAGTCATATAGAAAAAAATTGTTATCAACAAATTTTTTGAAACTAAAACACAATACTACTTTAAAAAATAACAGTCAAAATGATAAATATTTATCACACGTTATCTTAACTGTCATCTTTATTTTGACATTGTGTGCAAGTGACAACAGCAACAGAATTATCCTTGCAGACTGATCTAAGACAAATGCTGCAGGTTATCGTTGTAGTTCTGTTTTTCTATCTACCACAAGAAAAACACCTTCCTCGTACTTTGGCTTGTGGTTCGTCATTCGGTTGATCGATTTGAGGCTGCTTATATGTATTAGAAAAGCCTTATGTTGGATGGCAAAGTATTTATTTCAGCTCGTTCTTAAAGATGTGGTTTCATCAATGATATCGATAAAGATTTTAAAAAATTTCTTTTAAACTTAGTTGGACTGTTATAGTGAGCAAAATTATACAATATTTGACTATTTATTCCTGCCACATTCAACATCTGAAAAAATATAACTAAAGGCCACCTACGGGTCTTGCTACAGAATACGTAAAGCACATTTTATCTACGGTGTCAACGCCACCTTTGTGAGAGTTATAGTCCATAATAATACTAGGCTTATTAGTGACCTGATCTATAGAAGAATCATAATGCATTGTGGAAAGTAAAATGACCGCTTTGTTCTTTTTTGGTACAGATGACATAAGTGTAGCTTCCTGTTGAAACCCACAAAGGGATGAACCTTCTATTCGACTTTTGTTGGGTAAAAATTATTTTGGGATCTCTCTCTTATTTTTTTTAATGTTCCAACTATTGTAGTCTTCTTTTTTAACAGATCTGTTGCTAACCTATAACTGGTGTACCAGTTATCACAAGTTAGATTACGGTATTTTCCGTTCCATTGTTCAACCAATCGTTGGGTAATATCCTCTGGCTTATTGGATTTTTTGTAAGGCCCATCTGGTTGTTGCCCACAGTATAACTCGATACCGCTCACATAAAATGTTTGTGAGTCACACAATATAAACGCTTTTACCCCATATTTCGCTGGCTTATATGGCATATACTGTAAAAAGCTGCATCTCCCTCGAAAAGGAATGAGCATTTCGTCAATTGTCAAATGTTCACCTAATGTATAGCTATTATACCAATTGTCGGAAAAGCGGTCAATCATAAATCGTACAGGGGCAAGTTTGTCAGTAGCTTTTCTTTTAGGTCTTGTTTCTTTATTGTCGAATATAAGAGCACATAAGAGAAATAAAAATCGGTTGCAGCTCATGCAAGCTCTGAAAATTTCTGAGCCCGTTCCATCAGTTGTCCACAATTCCAAAAAATGTATATGACCTTGTTTTTTAATCCCTGTTAAAAACAAAAGTCCTATCATTGCCATAATTTGAGATTTGATTGTATTTCTGGCGTCTCTTTCGCGATTGTAATTCGGACGCATCTTTTCTATTTGCATATTGGTACAAACAACAATATTTTCAATAATGTCATCAGTAAATAGTTTAGTGAAAGCACTTGCCTCATTTGTAATATCTTTAGCGTACGCTTTGGGTCCAGAAAGTACTTTTACAATGTTAGTTTTGCTAGTTTTACTAAACTTACTTTTCAAAGAAGACTTATACCATTTTATTCCATCCTTGCCTTCATAGAAGTCTTCTGAACTTAATTCATCTTCATTTTCGCTAGAAGTTTCACTTGATTCTCCATTCGAATCAGAACTAGGTTCTTCGTTAAAAATAACTTCTTCGTCTGAAGTATCAGGATCTCCCCCAATAACTTCCTCATCTCCTTCTCGAAATAATGCATCAGCGAATGCTTGGAGTTCAGTATCAGTAAGTTGATTGGGATTTCTAACTGGAATCTGATCCCTGGAAAAATAAAATTACTAATAAAATTTTTTGTCTACATGAGAAATAGCTTTGTTTATAAAGAAAAATCAATTTTGTGCCATAATTATTAAAAAACAATTGAACGATATACTTTATACATTACCGCACGCGTGGCGTATTTTGTACACCACCGGGAACATCAAATAATAAACGGCTAATTACGACCTTCTCAGGACGCCGATTCTACTGAAACTAAAACCAGTTGTAAAGCAGGTTCCAGTGATAGGTTAGATACATAAACAGGGTAGGTCTTTACATTTTTAAAGATATTTGTAGTACAATTATTAAATTTGGCGTACAAAATACTCCAGCACGTGTAGTTAAAGGTTAAACAAGTACTTAATGGAAATAAAATACCGGGGAATTACACTGTTCAGCTATGGAGCCCTGTACAAAGATGTGAGAGATAAGTACAAAAAGCAAACAGACTGGCAGGATGCCTTAATAACACTATATGGCGAAACAGACACATTAACACTGAGATGAAGTCAAGAATTTATAAAGCCAGTGTAAGACCTCGAAAGAGAAGTGAAGACAGAAGAAAATGTAACGTACAGTGTATAAATGAGTAGACACAAAATAGAAAAAAGAATGTAATAACCACATAAGCAGAATGGAGTAGAGTCGTGTCGTCAAAATAGCAAGAGATAAGTCACTAATCGACAAAAGAAGTATCTGACGACCGCGCAAAAGACGAAGTGACAGCCTTCCATAGAGGTATTAACCCGTCAATGAACAAGCCAAATTGCTTATAAAGAGGAAGAAGAAGAATCACAGAATAACCAAATTACTTAAAACTGACTATGTTAATATAAACTGGCAAGCTCCTTAGCCAGTGATATAATAAAATGACTTCTGGCTACAAGTTTGCTCGTATTGGTTTTATATATAATTTGAGGGTTGATGGTCGCTATATTTGATGAATGCAGAACTGCAGTAGAGGAAAAAAAGGCAAGCTAGGCTTAACCAACTTCAGAGAAACACAAGAAATAGCAGTGAGATTTATAACGACAAAAGAATACAAGCGACTAGAATATGGAGAAGAAAGAAAAGAGAGGCTATGAAAAAACAAGTACAAGAAATCGTTAAAGCATAACAAACAGACGCGAAAGCAGAAAATTCTATAAATGCATAAAAGAAAGTCATTTAGACCAAAACTAACGATATGCAAAGACAAGGACGGAGAACTACTAACAGAGAAGCAAAAATTTATAATGAGATGGAAACAATATTTCGAAGAAAATCTAAATGCAGACAACGAAAATGATCAGAAACGAGACAATATTATATTATACGGCGGAGCTGCACATCGAAAATCCGAGTTATGAAGAAGTAGTTCAGATAATAATAAAACTAAAAAACAATAAAGCACCAGGAACGGACGGAATTTCGGCAGAAATTATTAAAGCATGGATGATCCGAACTCTGAGAAAGAATCCATTACCTAATATAACATTAATATGGACGAAGGAGCAAATGCCAGAGGAATGGACAGTGGGCCTCATACAGCCAAATAAAAAAAAAAGGAGATACGAGGGAATGCCAGAATTATAGGCCCAATTACATTGCTAATGTACCTAATATACAAAATTCTTTCTGGTGTAATCTACAATATATTATTAGAATACTCCGAAAATATAATTGGTGATTATCAAAATGGATTCAGACCAAATAGAGCCACTACAGATAACATATTCATACTAAGAACGATACAGAAAAAGCTTATGAATACGACATAGACCTATATAATATGTTATATAGACTTTAAACAAGCTTTTGATAGTGTGAAAAGAGACAGAATGCTGGAAGACCTTTGTAATCTAGGTATACTATGAATACATCAGCCTCATAAAAATGACGTTGCAGGGTTCAAAGCCGCAGTCAGAGTAGATGGAGAACTGACTCCTCTGTTTAACATCAACATGGGAGTAAGACAGAGAGATGCCCTATCAACCATGCTATTCAACCTAGTTCTTGAGGCAATCATCAGAAAACCAATTATAACCGGCATTTAAACACCAAATCAGTACAAATTACTGCATATGCAGACGATGTAGGGGTCATTAGTAGCAATAAGCCACGACTAATGGAAGTGTTCAATCAAATTGATCCTGAAGCAAGAAAAAGAGGTCTCAAAATAAACGAAGCAAAAACGAAGTATATGACAGTCAAAAGAATAACTGTCAATGAAAATAATATCACAATACACAACTATACTATCGGACGAGTGGATGCCTTTACATATCTCGGCACAGAAATTAATCAGAAGAACTCCGTAAGTAGCGAAATTAATGCACGTATTTCCAGCGTGAATCGTACATACTATGCTAATAAAAGATTGATGACATCGAAATTATTAGACAAAAGAACCAAAATGACTATCTACAGAACACTGATTAGACCCGTAGTAACCTATGGATGTGAAACT